TGCACATTCGCATATAAAACATGTGGCTTCATCAACGTATGCAAGTTCCTTAAAAGGGGAATTTAAGAAGGTGTGTAAATAGAGAAAATACATTAAACCCCAAAGGGTTCATATCACAGCACGAATTCTGACGCTTTTCTGGACTTTTTATGGTTTTCAGGAGCAACGAACAACACAAAGCAAATCAGCTCCGGAGAGTTAAATCGTTCCAACCAGACTTCACTACAAATTCGCCCGTTTTAAGGATTGTCCAGAAATGAGCTTCAGTGTCATAAAAGAGGAAATATTAAGGCTTCAGTTCGCTGAACGAGCATCTAGAAAACAACGTTTCATATTTGAAACTTCTTTGTTTCTATATTTATAAAATATAACTTTGTTACGGACAGAATGATAAAGACTTATTTTCAATGATGCCGCCAACATTTATAAAGATGGAGGCACGTTTAATGTCAGACTGAAGACTTTAACCATGAGATGAGACCATGAGACCATGATTTGAAAAAAACGATGATTTTACAATGTAGTTCAATCTGCTTAATAAAAAAATTGAGGAAATGCCATTAGACCCAATAGAGTTAATATCAGAACAGCGCTGACATCTGACCTCTGACATCTGACTCTGACGTAGCTTTAGAAGAACAACACAAAGAGTCGCAGGTGAATTCTGAAGCTTTCCTGGACTTTTTTCTGGTTTTCAGGAGCAAAAACAAAGCAAATTTTCAAACATTTTTCACTTTGTGAGAGAAACAAATCACTCTTTATATATATATTTTGGCTTTTTGCCATTTGTATTCAACAGCAGCAGCTGAAGATGGACAGGATTAGAACCCGAGCCGCCTCGGTAAGGAGCTACCAGGAGGAATTCATCGTTAAAAACCTGAACTTATCTTCACAAGTGGGGGGAAAACATATGTTTAAATTGGGCGAGAGGTTTATGGTGTTGACCAATGAGTCCGACAGGGAGCTTCTCTCTCCCATCATGCTCCTTGTGATAACTGCCACAAATAAAGTACTTCATAAAATGTGTGTAATGTTGTAACAGCAGTCTGTTTTAACTTTAGCTCCTGATTTATGTTCAATATCAAAGATTTCTGCATCAGATAGGTTGTTTTCCTGAGTCATCTGCAGGTTGAAAGTGAAACACTAACATTTCAGATTTTAGTGAAATAACTTCCTGATGGAGGTCTGCAGGGACTGAAACACCAGCTGGATTCAACAAATATCTTAATTCAGAGAGTGGGGAGTGTGCAATAAAGCACAGAAATACAACTGTGACACTTCTTTGTACAACAAAACCAAAAAACCAGAGAAACATGAATCTTAAATCTTTCTGCAAACCGACAGATTTCCCCACACGGGATTCAAACCGCCGTCTTCCTGCGACACAAAGCACAAACCCTCAGTCAGCACAAACACCTTTAACGTCTTATCTTCCTTTAAATATCTTTAACGTCATTTTCATCCACTCACAGTCAACGTTAACTGATGAGGAACGTTTCACACTTTGAGCTCCATGTGAGGCGTTCAAGTCGAGTTTTAAGGTTTGTAAATGAGAGAGCAGAGAGGGGTGAGTGTTTGTGGATGAGACATGTTGCAACATTAACACTGAATTTATCCTCTACTTTTATTATATTTACGCCCAAAATGCACGACTTACTTTTACATTTTATGGTCTTTTATTATTAGTTTCCTCTGTTTTGAACTTTGAGCGTCTCGTTTCTGAATCTGAAATCATGAATAACGGGCTTTTACTGTAAAAGGGTGCAGCTGCTGCATCCATTAAAACTCACAGTTGAACAGATTTTAACTTAATAAACTGTAAGAAGAGTGTAAAATATCACACAGATATTATCGTTATCAGCATACATGCAGATACACATCTGTCAGGGTGCAGGTTTCAGAAGAATTTCCTCCTCATGTAATGTTTGTTACAGAACTGATCTGCAGGTGAAAATGAAGACTTTCAGTTATTATTATAAATGTGATTAAAGCTGCGTGAATTTGATTAAAACACTGGAAAACAGAAGAAATATTATGAAATATGATGTAAATTAGTGGATTAAAAGATAGTTTGGAGGAAAAACATCCTGTTGGACATCCTGTTTTTTTATTTTATTTATGTGTTAATTATCTGTTCCACGTCTAACTGATGTTTACTTGTTGTCTTTATGATAAAAATAGTAATAAATGTGTCACACAGGTGGTTTAAAATATAAAAGAGGAGCTCAGAAAGAGTCTCCACTCAAACACGCTTCCCCTCATTCAACCTGATCAGGTAACAATCACTGATCAATAACCGGACTGCAGATTATCTGACGGATTAAATATCAAACAGCTGCAGGTGCTTGTTTGTGAACACAGCCTCAGTCTGATATCATGTTTCTATATTACAGACCTATATTTAATATATATAATATTTATAATATATAATATACATCCACACAGAGAATAAACTGTTGATTCTTTATATTAATCTTAAACTGTCAGTTCTCTCTGTTTAAAGGTTTTCTTTCTGCATTATTGGAGCGATAATGTTGAATAAACTGTACATTTGTGAAATTTGATATAAGCAGACGTCTTCCAGCAGAAAGCAGCACACACACACACTCACTGAGACTTCCATCATTTATCTGGTTTAAACACAGAAATCTGCAGCTTCGTGTCGACACAACATCAGAGTGATGACAGAAACAGCTATACCAATACCTCAAACTTCTTCAGTTACACACAAAATTAAAATGAGTGTTTTTTTGAATGAAGTTTGGTTCACTTACATTAAATTCAGCCTCTTACAAACACATTTAAACTCAGTGATTGTTGTTCATCGTCAGAATGATTCAACCTTCAGTTTGTTCGTGTTTTTTACTCATTCACTCACATTTTAAATCCCTCAGATGTAAGTTTGTGATCAGAATAATGTTCAGGTTTACAGATATTAAAGTATAACACAGTGCAGGTTGTATAAAGCTATAAACAGACACATAATATATCTGCACTGCAATACAACAATTTAACATAAATTCAGATTATAGCTGAAATGATTTGTCGATTAATCAGTTTTTTAAAAAACTAAAAAAAAGAACAAATATTTGTAGATTTTCTTATAAAGACATTTTCTTTATTAGACAAAACAAAAACATCTAAATAGTCATTTGTTATTTTCTACAGAGCAAACAAATAATCAGTAATCTTTATATATATTTATATATTTGTTATTTGTAGGTGTAGTTATTTATATACATTTATTTTGAATACCTTTTTGTTAACCTCTGTCACTGTGTCTGTTTCTGTTTGAACATATTTGGACAATAAAGTTTGCTTTCAGTTTCAGCTGCTGTTGATTTTAAAGGACTTCAGGTCTGAAACAGGTGTTTCAGATGTCAGCCTGCATCGTTGTGATGCGTGAAACTGCGGGAAGCAACGACATTTACTCACTAAATGATGCTTTCACTTAAAAAAGGTTTCAGATGAAACCGGATCAGCTTCAGTTTGAGGTCCCGTTTAAAAGCAGAGAAAGCGGCGCTGCTGGTAAAGTTTGAAGCCTCCGTGAGTCCGAGGAGCTGAAGGATCTCCATCATGTTCAGCAGCTGATTTTAAACCTGCATCGATTTATTTGAGTCAAGCGGTCAGATTTCACTGCAGCTCACCTGAAACTCATTAATTACGTCACAATTTACAGGTAAAACCGGAGTTTAGAGACAAAGACGAAAGAGAATTTTAAAAACTCTCAAGAGATTCATTTTTATTTTAAACTGCACAAATATTTTACTGTTAAATTTGGGAATTTTTGGCATTCAGTTCTTGTTTTGAATTGAATATTTCTTCGGCTGTCTGAAGCTTTAGGAGCTTTAAAACGTAGAAAATGTTTAAATCGATGGATTTCTAAGTGGAGTTCGGTGTGTCAGATATCTGCCGGGCTGCGTGTGTTTCACTGCGGACTTCATCTATTTTAACCTGCGTGTAAAAAGCTGCAGAAGCTTTTAATTTAACCTGTGACTCAGTTTAAATTTGCTTCATTTCCTCCTCGAGTTCCTCCACAATTTGAACATCGCTTACATTTTTTAATATTCAACCCAGCGCTTTAGAATCTGCACACGAGAAAATCTCCGTGTGCTTTAATTAAACAGTCGTGTACTAATTATTATAATTATCTCCTGAATAAGCTTTAAATAATGTGAAAGGATCCCAGAGATCGGACGCGTGCAGCGGCCGCAGCTCCGCGCTCCTCCCGCCGCTCTGCGCTCTTTGCGCGCGGCGTGTTCCTGCAGCACCAGACCGCGTGTCACATTGGTTTAAATGAATTACCGGAGCCGCCGTGCGGGGGACGGAAACGTTATTTCAAGTTGAGTTTTGGGTTAAAAAGACACGTGGAAGCGCGGGAAGCACTTCGGCGTCTGTGTGCGCTCGAACCGGACAGCCGGTGAGCCCGAATCCGCCCGAGAGGAGGAGGGAGACGGTGTGATGGGGCTGCCGCTCAGCGCTGGAAGCATTAACCCTGCTGCTTTGAATTAGTGGGAGAAAGAAGACAGAGTGTTTATGACTGACAGCCTTTCAGGAGGGATTTTGTTTTCTCTGAGAATAAATTGGACTTTTTCTCTGGATTCTAAACGTTAATTTGTAGATGGATTTTAAAGTAAAAGCTCTCAGAATGTCCATCTGGAGCTTCTGTTGCTTCTCTGCAGCTTCCACTAAAAGTTTGAAGTCCGAAGTTTTCATCTTTTTCTCTGTGTTTAATTTATTTGATCCTCTCTTTGTTTTTACACTGTCTCACTGAACACACCGAGCCTGTCTCACTGCGCTTGGGTTTAACTTTGTTGGCTCTTTGCGCCCCGCAGGCTGACCGGGAACCTCCGTGTGTGTCACTTTTCAAACGGCTCCTGGAGGATGCAAACACCACTTTCACCTTCACGCTGGAGTTTTCAGAGTGTGGCACTAATGAGCGGGCTGGCACCGCGCAGCACGGAGATGAAAAGTTGCATGCTTTTTGGGGATATTTTTACCTCTGGGCCGCTGTGTTGGCGTCCAAAATCCCTGCGCCCTGCATCCAGGAGCGGACCGGGGTCATGCCGGTGGGGAGCGGCTCCTCCTTCATGGTCAGGGCCCCCCTGGGGAGGCTGTCCTGGATGGAGAACATCAAAGTGTCCTTCTGGGAGCTTTGTCTTCACCAGAAACAAGAAAGAAAGAAGAATAATCCTCCCTGTAGCAGCCACTCAAAAAAGCCAAAGGACCACCTGGATTAAGGTGGAGAGAAGAGGAGCGATGAGGAGGAGGAAGGAAGGAGGGGAGGAGGGACACACGAGCGAGCTTCCCCAAAGTATCGGGTCCTGATCCAGTGAAGAGTCCCGGATCCCTCTGGGTTTCTGCGGGGTTGTTTTAGATCCCAGCCCCGGCTCGCAGCTGCCCGGGCTTTAAACCGGCGTCTCTGTGAAGTTAAAAGAGGGCGGAGAGAGGAGCGGAGAGCGAGGAGAGCATCTCAGAGGAGCCGAGAGAGAGAGAGTGAGAGAGTGAGAGAGAGGGGAGAATCAGCCGGGATCCGGAGAGCCTGACGCCGGGAGAACGGAGCGCGGAGAGCCGGGGATCAGAGGGAGGCGAGCAGCCGCGGATTGTGGAGAAATGAAAAGTGGGATAAAAAAACACGCCACCGCTTCAAAAAGGAGTAAAATGAAATGATTAGCAAACAAGAGGGAGGGACGGACCGTGGAAGGCTGCTGCTCCCGGGGGAACAGGGGGATTGGGCAGCGAGAAATCTCATCCCCCTCCCTCCCCGGCTCTTTATGGCTCCTCTGTCCCGGCGGAGAGCTCCTTCTCCCGGGGTCCGGGGCTCTGGAGCTCCCGGGGGACCGGCGTGGATCAGGAGGGGGCGGGGACGCGACCAAATAAGGGCAGCTCATTTGGATATTGGTCGCACCTCTGGCGCCTGATTGGTGGAAGTCGCGCGTTGCGTCATTGTTTTTTCAGACCCAGCTCCAAATAAGGGTTTCCGCGTGTTGGGCCGCGCGCACTGTAAGAAATGAGGTTTGAATGTTTTAAAGGATTTCAGCTGAAGAGATGAACACTTTAACAAACACACTGACAGGTGAACTTTAACAGGTTGATGATGTGTTCAATAACAGTCAACATGTGAGGGAATCTGGAGCTCAAACCGCTTTTACGCACCGATTCCGCCTGATTCCAACACATCTGCAAACAAACCCAAACAACTGGGCACAATCTGTCACTTCTCTTTAATATCTGTGGCTTTTTTTACGCCTGAATCATTAAAAGACTCGTTGAGGTTGACAGAAGCTTCCAGCTCCTTTATCCAAACCTTCCCCGCTCCGGATACGAGACTGTAATACTGAACCTCATCCCTTACACCACTCTGTATTCTCTTCCTCCAACCTCGCAGACTTCCTCAGATTTTGGGGGATTAACTGGTTTCATGTGGAATAATCTCCTCTGTCATCCCGCGTTCCGGCTGATTGACACGGGAGGCGCGCGAGTTTGGCACCAATTTGCGCTTTTTTACGCACGGACATATGGCGCTCACACACACACACACAACACACACACACACCACACACACACACACACACACATATAACACACACACACAACAGTAACACACACACACAAACACACACACACCACACACACACACACATTTCTTCTCATGCTAAAAAAGTAAATGTGTTTAATTTGAGGATTAAGGCGCCGCGGGCCCGCAGCGGTCCATCAGTAATCAGGAACACACTGAGGCATCATCATACAAACAATCAAATAATGCTCATTTCTGTTGATGTTTTGGGCTTTTGACATCTGCAGCAGTCATTTTTGTTCATTTCAGTGGCGGAGCAGACATTCTCTAATAAGCACAAACGTCCAGAGCAGCGGCTGAGTAAACTATTTATCCTCCTTTAAGCGTGCCTCCCTCCAGGGACGTACAAAGTCTGGAAAAGCCTGGGAGAAATATTTCCTGTGCCGGGGAAGAGAAAAAGTCAAATGAGACGCTGCAACATTCGTTGCAGATTAGAGGAAGATGAAGAAGGGTTAGAAACCAGACGGCAACAGCTCCATCGGCCCGTCTCCAATTATAATTATTATTATAAATATTGTTTTATCATTTTAATTATAGTTATAAATAATAACTCTTCTAATAAATACATTTTCCTTCTGTCACTAAAAATGTTTCTAATAAATAAAAACAAAAATAATTATTAATATT